AGTGAGGAGAGAAAGGTAGGAAAGGAGGAAGGGAGGAAAGGAGGGAGTGGGAAGGATGGAGGGGGGGAGGAACGGAGAGAGGTAGGGAGGGAGGCAGGAAGGAACAAAGGGAGGGACAAAGGCTGGGAGGAGGCCCAAGTGGGGGATGGGAGGGAGGAGAGAGCGAGGGAGAAGGGCCGAGAGGATTCCAGAGATGGGGGAGGAAGGAACAGAGGAACGAAAGGAGGGATGTGCAATGACTTGCTGATTCTGCAGCCTGCGGCCCGTCGCCTTGAGGCTGTAACATAGGTAGGCTATATTCGCAATTTTGTTTGGCTGAGGGCTAAGATAGGTAGGCTATATTCGCAATCTGGAGGGAGATATCTGTAAATTCGGGGGGGAAATTCAGGCCCGCAATAACTCGAATTTCCTACAGCTACCCTAACTGTGAATAGCAGACCCGGGCTATCACTGGGACAGACTGGCCTACGGGCCTACGTTGTTAGACTGGTCGTATAGCCTATAGCTGGGTAGGGAGAAGCCGGTGAGGCCGAAACTAAAACGGTACCAGTCAGTCCAGTCAGTCCGGTCCAGGTCGAGTCTAGGTTAGAGTAGTTCTATTAATAGATTGTAGAAGTCTGTTCAGGGCTTTTGGCAGTTGGTACTGTGTACATCGGGACTGCGTAACGGGTGAACTGGAGTGGTGACAGCTTCAGCGTCAGAGGAGACGTACATAGCCAGACCCTCGAAGCGTCGGCCATAGCTGGGACCTTCGCTGCTCTCTGACAACAGCACGCAGGGCTGTCCAGAGGTCTGGGCTATCTGAGGTCTGCTGGGAGCAGGAGAAGTTGGTGCCCTGCTGAACCCTCCTCAGGAGTAGGGTTTCAGGGTAGTCGCGCTGCAGCCATAGCCGCAGCGTGCATCCTCAGAGATCATCTTTGTCAGGAGACGTGGTGCTGCTGAAGATCTTCACCAGGGAGGCCTTCTGGCACTTCATCTTCATCAGAGACTGTGGTGCTGGTCTTCTTCTTCATCCTCTGAGAGGCGCTTGCCCTGTTTCAGGGTGGCGCTTCCCTCTGAAGGCAGTATCTGGGTGGCGCTGGTTGTTTCAGGGGTTCTGGGGTAGTGGATAGCGGTTACTCAGGGTTGGGAGAGAAGCGCTGCTCACTTCTGAGCAGCGCATCATAGTTCTGAGATTCTTCTGGCAAAGCGAGACTCTGAGTTTAGGATTCTACGGAGCGAATTGCACTTTCAGTGTACTCTGTCATACCACACGGTTAGTCTTCCGCTGTGTTTCTCTCTCCCTGTGTGGTGTGATACTCCCATCCTCTCCCCTTCCTTCTGTGTATGTATGGGCATACCTGGAAGTCTATGTGGGCGAGTGTTGGTCTTCTGACAACAAGCAACCAGGTTCATAACAGATGAAAGGAGAGAGGAACAAAGGAACTAAGGAAAGGAGAAAGGGAGAGAGGGAGCGAGGGAGGGAGGAAAAAAGACAGCGAGCTACACAGCAAGTGATGTAGGAGGGGATGGAGGAAGGGGGGGAGGAAGGGAGGGAAGGAAGGAAGGAAGTCATGGAGGCAGGAGGGACTGTCCAAGAGTGCTACACCTTGTCTGCAAATGCACATTTTAATACATTGCGTTAATTTCATAGAACAAATTCAGACAGTTTAAACACTTCTCAGACCGAGCAGCACACAGGCCGGATATGTACCAGACAGTGGACAGTGTGTGATAGTCAGTTTGAATGTGAGCCATGGGCTGCAGCGATTTGGTAACCTAGAAAGGGAGTTAATGGGCCAATCACCCGTTAAGTTCATAGCGACTTCATACCTATTCCTGGGTGGGAGATGGAAGAAGGCAGGAAGGACTGTTCAAGAGTGCTACACCATGTACCCGATGGTACTAACACACGCATGGCCACAAATGCACACAAGCACACACACAGCCACACACAAAAAAAAACTCGGCACTGTGCAGCCAGATACGAACTCATGGCCATGTTTGCTGTTCATCCACATGCATGTGCTGTGAAATTGTATGTGAACACTGGATGTCCCTCTGCTCGATTACACCTCTGATGGGCCGTGGCATGGAAAGGAGGAGCTCCTCCCAGCTGTATCCAAGATCTACAAACTAAGACCGACAAAAAATAAATAAAAATCAAAACACGAAAACGAAAAACAAAAGAAAAAGGAGACCCTCTGACCGTTCCATCAGAATTTTGTCTCGTGACGTGTCTACTAACAGTTACATGTCTGTTGTTCCTCTGCAAGGACCTGCCATACCTTGTATTCGAACAGCAAAATGGTCCAATTTCAGTGTCGCGGGAGACTTATGTGAGAGCCACTTTCCACTTTATAGAAGCTATTCATTATTGATATCTATTACCGACATCATACATAGATACGGATTCTGGTGACAACAAAGACATAACATAGTCATTGATATTTTCCCAGAAAGCAGAACCAAACCAGGCAAGCACACAAACAAAAACACACGGCAGCAGAGCTTGATGGTACTTTGGAAAAGGAAGATTGCTTATATACAGCCTCACCGCACCACTCACCAAATGTGCAAAATGAGAATGAATCTTTCGCTAGAACATGGAAAGATGCACCGCCATAATTTTGGTCTGTTGTGCATTTGGTGAGTGGTGCAGCGACGCCCAAACTTACATTTAGCTCATTAAAGAGCTGTTGTACATTTGGTGAGCGGTGCGCCGATGCCCATACTTACATTTAGCTCTTTAAAGAGTTGCTCTTTTTCTGCTTCCTGCAATTCGAGTTTGTTCTGAAGCCTGACGCATTTCCGCCTGCCAATCGACAGAGCACGGAATTGTCAACAAACAACCGAAAAAAAAAAGAAAAAAAAAAAGCACTGTGCATTATTCATACTATTGATGCTACACATTTGTGCGGCTCTGACAGGAAGATCTGTCTATTCAACTGCTGCTCCTTTTACAGAGCCATGATCCCACTCAACAAAGCAATTCACAATCTATGGCTTGAAAGCACTGAAACATTAACTCGAGTAATCCCAGTTTGTCTGGTTGCGTGGAATCATGGCCGGTTTATACAGTTGTGACGTATTACTTTCAAAATCTTTTGAGCGCAGCCTCCCACCCAAGGGAGTGGGCCAGGTTTCAGGTCCGCCCATCTTTTGTTGAGGCCCCATCTAATGGTCACACGCGGTTAACCAGGGTGTAATGACCCGTCAAAACACAGACTGAGAACACTGCTGATTTCTGAAGTACTACCGATGGAATGGATGCCTTGCCGAGATTCCCGCATTCTGCTGTGTTTTCCAAGTCTGTCTGTGTGTGCGTGTTTGTGACCTGCGTGCCGTCTGAGTGCTTGTCGGAATGAGTGTGTGTGTGACCCGCAAGGGTACTTGCTTGTTTGGTAGGCCCGTAGGGCCGGTACTTACCTGTGGCCGTGGCATTGAGGGTTGTAGCAGGGAAAAACACTCAAGTGGCGAAGCTAGCCCCACGGCCCTTGGGGTAGCGGAAAAACACTCAAGTAGGCCGGTAGGCCGATACTGCACCCCACTGCAGTTGGCGTGAAGGGGTACTGGAGGCCGAGCAGAAAAAGACAAAGTTGGCATTTTTAGAGTCCAGTAGCGGTAGGGTAGGTCTAGGCCGGTACCAGTCCAACCAGTCTGAGTCTAGAGCCTGTACGGGTAATATCAGGGTCTGCAATGATGTTTCCCTCCGAAACGGAGGAGGTACCGGTTGCTTGGAGAGGTCGAGCGGCCTGGAAGTCACCGCCCAGGAGGCAAATAGGCCGCTATATCAAGAGGCAGGGCGGAGAGCCCAGCCTCATTCTTCAGTGTGCAAGTTGGGCGTCACGCTGCTGGAGCGCTAGGTGGAGGAGCGCTGGGCACTACAGCGCTGCTGGGTGGAAGAAGCCGGGAGCTTCCACCTTGGCTATGGTGGAGCTCTACCGGTAGGAGGAGGAGGGAGAAGGGGACCAAGGAGGAGAGTGGCGAGGTACTTACTGGCWATGGTAGACACCATCTTCATCTCCTTGCTAGGCGCTGCATCAGGAAGGCCCCAGTGGGGGTAGTGCCGCATCAAGGAAGCTCGGACAGAGTCAGGCATGGCAGTTGAGTGGGCAGTGGCATAGCTGCTGGGTGATGACCTTGCAGAAGGGCAGCGGTGTAGCTGCTTGGGGTTGTCTTATGTACCGGAGGCTGAAGCCTCAGTAGTCTGCCATAGCCTCGGCCTGTATGCCGAGGAAGAAGAAGGGCTGCCATGGCTATGGTGGACCTCATCTTGTGCCTACAGTAGAAGTGGGATTCAGACATTGATTCTGGTTCAGCTGTTCAACATTATTATTGTTTATTTATTGTTTGAATAAGAGAGGAGGAGATAAAGAGGAGGAGGTTGTTGAGCGAAGAAGAAGAGCTTTGTCTTTGGTCTATGCTGGAGTACATCATCTCTTTCTTCTTTCTCGATTCTTCTTCTTCTTCTTTCCCTCTCTCTCCTCTCAAGTTCTTTCATTTCTTTTGCAATTGGACGGCATTGGGCTCAAGTTCATTCATTTCTTTTCGCAATTGGACAACATTGTACTTTCTGATGATTGTGGACTTCGAAGTTGGCCAGGATCGTAACAAGGGTGTTATTTTTGACGAATTTTGCACTGAATTGCACTGAAACTGTCATATTGTGCTGATTTTTTGCTTTTTTTCTTGTTTTTCTTTTTTTGTGATATATATGTGCTTTGACATGTTTGGATCAATAATGAAAACGTTGGCATTTTGTTGGATTCGTTGGACGCTTCATTTTGACTCGGACAGTGTCTTTGTGTTAGGGTTTCTTGTTTTTTTTTTTTTTTTTTTCGTTTTTTTTTTGCCTGTTTCCTTTTTTGATGTTTGCACTATGGTCTCATATCGTTTGTTTTTAAAATTTTTGATGAAATTCGCACCGCAATTGCCAACGAAAACGGCGAATATTTGGACCCCCGTTAACCGTCTCTCCTAATGGTGGGCAGCATCACCTGCTTAGTTTTAATATCTTTTGAGTGCAGCCTGGCACCCAAGGGAGGGGGCCAGGTTTCAGGTCAGCCCATCTTTTGTTTAGGCCCATCTAATGGTGGGGAGCATCACCTGCTGGCCACAGAAGCTAGCTTCCCATAAATCATAACATGCAACCAAAAAGCAGAAGGAAAAGAAGGGCAAGGTCTCTTTCTCAGATTGGATCCGGATGCCTGACAGTTATGTTCCCTCCTAACCTTTGTCTTCCTCTTCTCTACTCCTCTGCACTGAAGTGATGCTCCCTGCTTGCTTGTTCCAGGCATACCTGTGATAATCCATCTGCTAGACTGACACACTGAAGGGGAGGCATCTGTTACCCAGCCCTCTCTTGAAATGAGCCTACTGCAGCATTGCCAAATTTGACTTTCTTTCCTATGCATTTCTTAGGGTGGAATGCACTGTGTAGTTTTCACTCTTATCTTTCTGTTGTAGGATTTTTTTATTTTTATTTTTTTATTTTTCTTTAAACGGAACCTTATGGTTCCGGCTCCTTATCCATTCTGGGGAGCGTCAGTCCGGTTCCTATTCCACTGACAAGTCGGAGAAGATTACAAGGTATAAACGCTCACACTCCTCCCCCTTGTGGTGTGGAGGCCTGAAGGACGGCATTGATTACTTCCCTGGGGAAGGATGTACCACCCTTCACCCCTGCCTAAGTTAGCCTGTTTTACACGGAACCTGGATTTGTCGTGTAGCTATTGATAGAACCCTAAACCCTGACTTGGTACATCTGTGTCTTTGAGACTGCTAATCTACGGACCTACTGTTCAATACCCGATGACCACCCTACCTACAGCAAACAAACAGGCGACTTTCAAGACACAGGTCGAGGGTTCAAGCACACACGGGTCAACTCGTACTGTACACGGGAAGGGCGAGGTCTGGGGATCGAGCCCTGGGAACTGCACCTGTTACCGCAAAGGCGAAAACCGTTTCACATGTACTTCGTCAAGCAACCTTCGTCGGCTCTTGCATTTCAATGATCCTCGCCCGGTGAGATCTTGACAACGGAAGGGCGAAATGACGGGCAGAGCTCAAGGACACATTCATTCACATCATTGCTAGCCAAGTACATGCAAGAACCATCCATTCACCCATACATCCACGAGGAGAGAAAGAAGAGGAGAATATACACTCGCTCAATTGAGAAGGAATATTGGCATCTCACCATGCAACTTAACTCCAAATATAGGATGAAGAAGAAGACAAGGCGCAAAAAGCCCTCTGCTCTCAAGTTATGGCCCCAGGCCATCCAACCATCTATCAACACACCTCACCTTGCTCGGGCACTGGCGATCCCGGCCGCCATGTACCCAGCGCTAAACCCCAGTGATCGTCACCCCGTCCGCTCAACTACCACGTGGATTTGCCCGGATCCTGCAGTCCGTTGCAGCGATCCAGCGCGCAATCCGGTAAAGTTGCAGTCGACTCGTTAGGACTTTCCGACTCGCTGATCACCACCTCATCTAGTGTCACATGCACAGTTGGGCGATGTACATAATAACCGAGGATCTGCAGTGTGATAAAAAGGACTGAATGGACAATGCAGTGCAAGTGAAATCTCAGCAACCAGTGTACATTCTGATACATACAAAATGGTGCTTTATAGCGCAGGGAAGACTTAGATACAAGTCCTGACCTGACCGGGACTGACCTCTTTCGTGTAGTACAAGATAGCGCAGCAGAATACTAGAATACTAATGACTAGCCCAATCAATGTTACAACGCAGACCAAACATACATCATTCTCACCACACAGTGTGAAGGGAGCCTGGCGCTATACACAGGAAGAGGCGCCAGGTCCAGTTCATGCACAGACGAAGAGGAGGGGATCAGACGGAGATGAGAAGGGGAGAGATGGGAAAGTCGTCAACACCAAGTCTCGTTACAAGTCCCAAATAATCCCTCGTCAAAATGTCTGAAGTCCAATGTCGAGTCTGGATCCAAATGTCACCAAGCTCTCTCTCTCTCTCTCTCTCTCTCTCTCTCTCTCTCTCTCTCTCTCTCTCTCTCTCTCTCTCTCAGAGTCTGCTGATGCAGTGAAGTCAGATAACGAGAGGGTGAGAGGGAGATGGTGGACTGAGAAGAGGAAGAAGAAGAACTCTCTCTCTCTCGTGTGCCAGGTACTAACCTGTGAAGGTGGCGCTGTGCTACAGGTACCTCGAAGACGAAGCTGGAGCGATGGCGCTGCAGGTAAGTCCCTCTGGCCTCCGCCCAATCTCTCTCTCGACAGTACTATTCTAGCTGCTATGGCGCCCAGCGCTGAAAACTACAGGTAACGCTACTAGCGCCCAGCGCTGAAGACTACTGCTAACGCTACTACTACTCCTGCAGCCCTCCTCCAGAGTGCTGCTGCCGAATCCTGAAGACTACCTCCTGCCTCCTGAACTGCATGTGAAGTGCCTGGGAAGTACCTAGGAACTACCTGCCGGCCTGCAGGGCGGGCCAGTCCTATATAGTGCTGGCCCGTCCAGGAGGCTGCTCTTGCCAATGCCGAAATGTGCCAGACCCTGGCGTTGAAGCTCAACCAGGGGTTGTCTTGAAAACAGGCCCCGAAATGGCCTGTGCTAAAACCCTGGTTTGTTGCCTGAGTTTCAGGGCGGGTCGGACTGATGAGGGCCTGAAAATGGCCCTCAGTTTCAGGCTGAAAACACTCAGGGCCGGAAAGGCCCTGATTTAGCCTGAAACGACACAGGGCCTGTAGGCCCCGTTTTTCAGGCTTTCAGGCTGAAACGACACGGGGCCTGTAGGCCTTGTTTTCAGGCT